GTGTACACATTATTAAAATCTCTATAAAATATCTGATAATTTGATGTACATAAGTCCAATAAACATTTTTGACCGCCAAATGACAGTTTTAACTAGTTTTTATTGAGAGTCCATAACCGCTAGACCTGCCTTCCCAAAAATTGAATCATTTCTTCATCTTGTCAGTACAAGTAAAATGTTTTTTGAATTATTAAAATCGGACCAGTTCCGTTCTCTTAAAAACTGAGTTACCGTTTTTGGCACATTTTGTCCCGTATCTTCGGAAAGACTAGAACTGCCTTCGCCAAAAACTAATCAGCACGTCTCCCTATCAATACAAATCGAATGTTTTTTGAATTGTTCAAATCGGTTGATCGGTGTTCCCGAAATCGTCGACAAAAATTTGTTTCCGCACACACACATAAACACATTCACATACGCACATACACACACACACACACGCATACATCCATTTTTTCTAAGGTATGCCAAATTATTCAAAAACCTTTGAAATATAAAGATATATAAAAATTTTCATTTTAGATTTTTTTGCAATTACTTATTTAAATAATTTTAATAGTTAATTACTAACGTTCACACTAATTTTATCGAATTAAACGACCAAAAGCTAAGTTTAATTCACAGATCGTTTTTGGAATATTTAGAAAAACATTCAACTTATAGCTTTAGAAAAAGTTAAAGGATCAAGGAGTCATGTGAAATTTTTATAAACTAGAAATCAAACTTAAATTATACTCTTGCGTTGTTATTAGAATTTTGGTTAATAACTTTATCAGTTTAGGCCAGATCTATATTTTTTAAACCAAATTTTGGATTTAGACGCAGTCAGCATATCTTCTCTACTACATAAAATCAAGAGTTTATCACTAGCAATTTTTGCTATATCAGCTTTTAAAACATGTTTAATAAGTTGCATGAAAAAATATAGTGAATTATCTTTGCTAAAACCAAAGTTACTACTTCAGAACACTTATAAAGAGCAGTGAATTGGGACAAGACAAGTTATTGGTACAATTCCAATGCACATAATAAATAATGGTTCAGTTTTTTCGTTCGACTCTATTCAACAGACATATAAAAATGAGTTATAAAATGCTTACCAGCGCACTACTATTTTTTACGACCCAAGATTTATGCGTATATTGTTTACCATGATCTAGCACAATAGTACAACTATACGTAATAATTAAAAATAACATTGATTAAAAATCTTTGTCCATTAAAAATAATTATATTTACTGAGAAGTAAATATATTATATTAAATATCATTAAGTATTTTATATTATCTAATGAAGTTATTATAAATGTTTATATGCAGAAGTATAATGTGCAGAAGTATCATTCGACTATATTTTATTTTGATATTTTTTTCTTTTATTAATAATTGTGCCATCACGAAATATCAGCAATTTTTTCGGAAGAACTTATTGTTAGAATATTTAAATTGGATGCCAATCCATTAATTGGGCGTCCGTGTATGATAGAGTTTTGAAAAATTTAAACAAAATAATATGTACATTGTTTGCTGTCTTGCATTCTGAATATATCTAAAGATAATTCTGAAGATGTGATGATCTTCTTGAAATTCTATACGATACTAAAACAGCATTATTTGTAAATAAAATATATATTATGCCTTCTTGCATTTTGGATATATCTACTTATATCATTTGGATTTAAACTAAAATAATCTTGAAATAAGGGTCGTTACAAAAAATTAAATGTCACATTTATTAGTAGGGAAGACTGGGTAAAGTTGTGCCAGGTTACGGTTGAGACAGTGTCATAATAGCTAAACTATACTAATTTTGAGATAGGGTCCAAAGCGAGAAAGATGAAGTGTATTTGTTTGAACAAGTTTAAATTATTGCTTGAGTCAGCGCTCTACATTAAAATAATCTGTATACCGAATTGCTTTTAAAGAATCAAAGGTAAGTGTTTTGTGGGCTCGCTCTTTTCTTGTTTAATTTTATTCTATGACTAATGGTACTTAAGGGGGGCGATACATGTAATCGCCTTAATTTTACCATTTTTTGAGGATTTTTTAAACTGGGAAGGATGATAGAATCTTTTGAACTTTTTTAGGGTTAGTTTATTATATTAAAATACACAAAAAAAATTTTTTTAATTTTTTTTTTAAATGGCTGCCGTAAAAATAAATCTGCCAAGACCCTCTCGGAAAACGCCATCAATTTGCGGGCGTTCTCACTTTTCGTACGGTGATCTGAATTTAAAAAATTAGTTTGTACGTGTTCATAAAACATATCTTCTAGGTAAACCAAAAAAAATTAAAAAAGTCACAAAATCGTAAATTGGCACACCTTAGAAAAAAAAGTTCGATTTTTCAATGGTTTTTTGGTTTAAAAGGGTTAATTTTGAAACATTTTTTGGAATGTTTGAGGTTTAACTAGAAGCTATTATGTAAAGTAGATGTGTGCAAAATTTCATTGGAATGGTTGAGAACTTTTGAGTTATCTCGCCCGCAAATCAAAAATGTCGTTTTGAGAAAACGCGTTAAAGTTTTGACACAGAAACAGATAAGGTACAATAGCACTCAAGGCGAGTGAGGCGTGGCACTTAAATGAGTTTTATTGTATACTAATGATAATTTTGTTTTGAATTATGTACAGGCATATTTTTGAGATGTTATTGTAAATGTATGAGAGAAAAAAAAAAATCGATTTTTTTTTCTTGTTACATTATCGCCCCTTAAGCGTCCTACGGGAACTACGGAAAGTTTCAGCAATTTGCCTTAAGGCACGATACCACACACCACTAGTTTACTATTCTACTAACTAGTAAATTAACAAAATTATTTCTGATAAAAAAGTGGCAAAACCGTACCCAGTTTCCCCTATTGCGATAATCATAATTTAATTAAAATTTATAAGGTGGGTGCATAATTGAGAGAAAGATTTATACAGCGTAGGATATTAGCATTTTTTATAAAAAAAAAGCAAACCAAAGTAACCTTACTTATAGTACGCAAAAAAATGAAAGAATAATTTATTTTATACCAATTAAGTAGGAAAATGGTATCTATCTAATATTTTCTGGCCCAGGGTTATTTGAATTTTTAATTCTCATTGAAAATTGAACTATATATATAAAAAATTCTAAATATTTTAATTAAAAGCTCTCTTTTACTAGGTTTCTTAAAATTAATCTATATTATTTATGAGTATGAAAATGGAACTAAAATTTGATATCCATTCTCAAGAATGAATGTTCCTAGAATACACTCTTGTCGATTCAAATCCCCAAATATAATCAGAAACCATTCGTGGAAGCGTTATCAAATAATAATTTCAAGATCAAAACAAAGGCATTATTGTTTATGGGAACCATAATAATAATATTTATTGTCACTGTTAATTTATATTACAGGACAACTTTATTATGTTTAATATATCCGGCGAATACAGTTCTTTACATATAGTGATTTTGAACGATCTCATTCATCTAGCAGAAAGATTATTTAAAGTTCGGATTAAAAATTATAAATGAAATTTTAGAAAAAATATATTTTTGGTATGTAAGTAACAGAAATCAGAACTTAACGAGTCCTAAAAGTAGTGCCTGACTTCTTTTGACGACGCTTTATAGAAAGCAACCCAAACGGTTGCCCTATCTCTATGTGATTAACTTTTTTTGAATAATTTTTCTGACAACGTTGATTTTTTTATCGATGCAGCAACGCCGGGTAAGAGCAATTTTTAATTGGAAACATATTGCTATCTGTATTTCCAAGTGAAAATCGATGTCATTACTGCTTGACATCAGGCAGTCAGAGCTGAAGACCAGTATATTGAATCTGGATGTTCGATAAATCAAGAAAATATATGAGACATACGTTGCAAACTATAAGATATGTTCAAAGACACATCTTCCGACCGTGAAATATTCCCTGATGGTTATTTATTATTAATTTGCAGATTTATGCATTTTATTATGCGTTTTATTATGCATAATAAACTAAAAGTTACTTACATAATTACATAAAAATTAAATATTATAAATAGAACGGGAGATCTGCTCTGCTTACTATATAGTAAGAATAGAAAAGAATATTCAAGAATTTTATAATAGTCTTGAAATGTAAGCACAAGGTGACAAAAAATTAAGAAAAATCTTAATGAAGATTTAGTAAATTTGAAGTAATCACTAGCAAATTATGACGGTGAATTAAATTTATTTTACAATCTTTAATCAAAAACAAGTATGTATTAATAATTTAACCGAAAGTCTACTTGGTAAAATATTTTAATTTCGATTAAAATTTGATTTGCATCAATATGCTTTAACATATAGTTTTAACCTTTTATTTTTTATGATACCAAAAAAACGACAAAAACAAAAAGTGAATACAATGCTGGGCATCGCTGGAGCAATAAGAATCAAAATTTACAATTTTGTAATTGTTTATTGAATAAATGAGTTGAAAAGTATTATCTCTAGGTATTTAATAAACATTAAAAGATTTGTTAAAAAATCTTTAAATAAATCAGTGAATGTATCAAATGTAAACCTTTTCTAAAATGAATATTAAATGAATATTGAAGAACATTTGATAGCTTTTGATGAAAGCACTTGGATGAATATGAAATTTCTCAAAAAAGTAATAAAAAGAAATCTCATATTCATCCAAGTGTGTCTATCAAAAAATATATTAAGTGTTATTCAATATTTATTTGGTATTCACTTTAGAAAAGATTTACATTACTTTATATTTAACTTAAGTTAATATAAAGAAAAAAATATTAAATTAATTAGCACCTGGAAGCATCTAATAAATAAGAGTAGTTCGAGCAATAAGACAGTTGTTAAATGTAATTTAATATAAATTAAATATTCATAGTTGAAGCTTCCATGCATTTGATGAAAATCAAAGTAAAATACCACATTAGTTCTAATCAATAATAAAATAATATTTAACCGTTACTCTTGAAAACTGATGGTTTCATCATTTAAAACAATTACTTAATAAAGATAAATTTACCTTTGACGTTTTTTTCCCTCATTATTATGCATTCTTTTCTAGATTTTTTCTGTAAATTGTGACATTTAAGAAATCGTTCATACCAAGCTCTGCTAGCATTGAAGTTATAACTCTGAAGATAAACAGAAACATTTCCTATTTTTCGCTCATTATTTTTTGCAAGATCTTCAACAATTTCTAAAGCCTTTGATCTAATGGTCGAATACCTAGAAGATAAATAGAAAATCAGTAAAAACTGTGAGTTGCAAATAGACCCTAGTATATAAAAAAAAAATTTCTGTCTGAATTTAAAAATTATATATGTATATATAAATCAAAATCTGAACTTAAGCCACCTATAAAGAAACTATATATATATATATATATATATATATATATATATATATATATATTGAAATGAATAAAACAGCCAATGCGTCGAATGTAAAGAATTTATTTTAATTTTTTTATACGTTTCTAGACTAGATGTGTCTCATCATTCAGCTAAAAGAAGCTTTTTTAGCTGAAGCTCTTTTAGCTGAATGATGAGACACATCTAGTCTCAAAACGTATAAAAAATTAAAATAAATTCTTTACATTCGACATATTGGCTGTTTTATTCATTTCAATATGTTTCAACGTCGAACAAAAGATCCTCAAGATATAGATATATATATATATATATATATATATATATATATATATAATATTATTTATTTATACGGAACTTTCAAATTTAGATTTTGATTCAAAACTCTGGTCTATTAAAAATTATTGATTTATAAAGTATCATATTGATCGATAGGTCAGGAATAAATAAATTGACTATGTTCTTATGACTTATTTTATTTGCAGTTTGTAAAATGATTAAATATATATTAAAGTAAAATTACACCAACAGTCACTGTAAATTTTTCAATAATACTTTTCTATAAGACAACATGATGCACAGAAATGAACACTAATTTATATAATTCATCCCAATCAGCATTCTGTACTACAAAGATTATTAAAATATACATTCAAAGAAGATATTTTTAAGAAATTGAATTAGCTTTATAATTTTTAAATAATGGCTTCTCACAATAAACATGATGCTTAAAAGTTTTATTATATCAACTCAAATAATAAAACATAAGGTGTTCACAAATTATTGTTGAATTATCGAAAAGGCTTACAACTGGGTAACATATTGAAATTTACATTTATCATCATAATTAATGAATGCTTTTCTTGTATTAACAGATCAATGAAACATAAATTGAATATATTAGTGAAAAAGTAATTTGATAAACTATTGCTTAATATTTGTTTGAAAAACCTCTTATAACTCATCGCTTTACATAGATTTGATAATTTTGCTTCGAATAAACTTAATGAAATGTTACTCGAACAAATTTATACCAAGGCAAAATCATACATATATATATATATATATATATATATATATATAATATATATATATTAATTCATCAGTTTAATTTGATGTTTATAGATTAAAAATACTTATAGTCAACTCTGTTAATGTATATATGATATATACTGTTATGTATACTAATATTTTTTTCTAATAGTATAGCAAATCTTGGCCAAATACTCTTCAGGAACTAATTCCTGGTTATAAAAAAAAGTAGAAGAATTTTAAATAAGGATTTTGGTTGCAAAAAGGTCAATGAATACCAATCTCGATTGTACTTGAATGGAGGAACCCATTGAGACTTAAAATTAGAGTTTAAGTTAACAAAGTTACATTTATTGCTTCTTTGCATTTGTTATAACTTACTCAAGTTCAACATCATTTTTATTCTTAGTAATCCATTCCATCAAAATGCTTTCCATCTGATTTATAATAGGTTCTAGAGATAATTTAACTACTTTAACATTTTCAGGACCTACAGCCATCATTTTCGTTTTAATATCATCGCTCTTGGATTTTATTTCTCGTA